CAGCTTTTGACACTGTAGACCGCGATCTACTACTAGAAAAGCTCTGGAAGGTCGGGATTAGAGCGCGTTTCTACAACATGGTAAAGGCCATGTATGAAGTAACGGAAAACGAAGTGATAACAGGGGAAGGGATATCCGAGAGGTTTTCGACAGGGAGAGGGGTGAGGCAGGGCTGTCCGCTGAGCCCCATACTATTTAACGTGTTTATAGATGACATTGATGACTGGTGGGAGAAAAGAGGGGAAGGAGGTACGGTAGTGGGGGGAGAGAAGATTTTCTGTTTAAAATACGCGGACGACATTGTAGTGGCAGCGGAAAGCGCGGGGGAACTCCAAAGCATGTTGGGCACTGCAGAGCGTTTCTTCCAGGAAAATCGACTGGAAATAAACGTCAACAAAACCAAAGTCATGGTTTTCAGGGGGGGTGGCCGAAGGAAAAAAGGAGAAAAGTGGAAAATATATGGGAAAGAGGTAGAAGTCGTCAACAGTTTTAAGTATCTGGGTTTTTGGTTCTCGTCAAAAAACGCGTATGGGGAGCATGTAAGAAAAATGGCGGGGAAGGGGACAAGAGCAGTGAATGCGGCGTGGGGGGTGGCGACAAGGGCCGGGTTGAGCTCACTCGACAGCAGGTTGTACATCCTTAACGTGCTGGGGAAGTCGGGGGCAACGTACGGGACAGAAATCTGGGGACTCAAACCGCGGGAGACGATGGAAAGAGTACAGGGGAGGGTAGTGAAGATGGGAATGGGGGTGTCAAAAATTACGCCTGGGTATCTGTGGAGGGCGGAGAGCGGCAGAAAGGGATTGATTCTGGAGACTAAGAGACGTGTGCTAGGTTTCTTGGGGGGGGGGGTGAGCAGGTTAGCAAAGGATCGCCTAGTCAGAGTATGCCTAAGTGAGGAACTCAGGGCGCTAGGGAACTCCAATCCTTCAGCATGGGGAAAAGAGCTGAAGGAAGCTCTGGAGGAATGGGGGGGTGAGGATTTCCTGGAAATTCTCAAACGGGGGGAAACAGAGTGGAAGGAGTTCCAAGACAGGCTGAAAGAGTTTTTGGAGAAGGGGGAAGCCAAGGAGCGGGCGGAGGATGACCGTAGAATACGGGACTCTACTTTCAACCCGTTCTATAAGTACCTAGTCAGGCCCGACGAAAAGGAGGGGTATTGGAGCATGAAAGGAGTAACTTGGGGGGACAAAACGATGTGGGCCAGGATGCGCTGTGGGAACATAGGGCGAGCAGGAAACAAGGGTTACGAGGATGTGAGCTGTAGGCTGTGTGGCGAAGTACGGGAGGACCTGGAGCACATCCTAGAGTGTGACAAGGTTAGGGAGGGGAAGCTAAAAGACCTGTGGGGGGAGTGGGAGAATCTGGGAAGAACAGAATCATTTGTGAAGCTGCTAGGGGGGAGACCGATCCCAGAACTGTGCAAGCTGGTCAGGGGATGGGAGAAACGGTTGCGAGGGTTGGAGATGAGCAAGGAAGACCAGTAACTGAGTAGCAATAAGGAGAACTGGGTAGACGAATTTTTTTCAGGACTGGTTAGAGGAGGAGAGAGGGAGGAAACGTTGCTTAATCGAGCCCGAGACTACTCCCTATCAACCGAATTGAGAGCGGGGGCTGAGCCTTTCACGTATCTTCGGTCACGTTATTTTTTCTCGCTGGGGGGAACCCGCGGAGTCCACAGGATGACCCCGTGGCGTATTCTCTCCACCACAAAGTCCCTGGACCTTCAGAAGCAGGAAAAGGCTCAAGGCCGGGGCGATTTATCTTGTCGTATCTTATTCTTACTCTTATTCTTACTTTTGTAATATCTAATAGTTAAAAGATAACTGTTACTAGTTTTGTAAACTTTAAGTTTTTCTGTATTTTCTGGGCAACATGTGTAACACTGTATAACAGCCCTTTATATGGGGAAAATGGGAGGGGAAACAAAATGTAAAAACCCGAGAGGGTATACATCGGACTTAATAAATAATTTATCGATATGTCAATTTGCTCAATTAATGAATGATTTATTGAGTTTCTAATTCAATAACCCATTAATTTACTCATGTATTTCATAAAACAAATTACAATGGACGAATGTTAAAAACCCTGAATCACTTATTTTTTACCCTTACCTCTGACCCTGTCATGCTTGGAAGTATTTCAAAAATTAATTTCATTTAGAAATTTATTCTTTCAATAACTCCACCTTATTCGTTGCCCACGGGACGTTGATTTGCTGTCGATGCAGCTCAAATTCCTGGGCTAATGCGCCACGCGTGTTTCTGAAAACCCCAAAATTGCAAACGCAGCGCAATTGCACTGTCTTTTCGGCCACTAAATTCGTTCTTTTAAAATTTTTCTTTAGTCTCGTTTATACAACAGAAGAGAGAACTTCTCAGGCTCTACCCTCGCGATCGTAACTTCGGAATAAGTTACTAGCCCTTTCCGACGTTATGTGGGATAACCCGAGTTATCCAAAGCTTCGCTAAGTACGAACACCTACGTAAAGGATTGTCTGTGACGAAACGGTCGGTGAACTGCGAATCGTTCACTACGTTCTTGTAAAATCGTGCAAGGACACATTATTAGAAAATTATAAAGAAAAAAAAATAAGTGCACGGACACAGTTATCCCAAAATTCCAATGCAAATCATAAAGTGAAATAAGGAATATAAACTTAGATATAAAATTAAGTGACATGAACTGAAAAACAGAAGACTATTGAAGCAAGTGGAAAACTATTTTGGACAATTTTCAAGTATTGGTTCGTACGAAATTCTTAAACCAATCTATTTATTTCGGCCTTTTCAACTTTTATCAAAATCATCAAGACTAATCACGATCTCTAAATCAATATCAATGAAAAACTTTAACTTCGATCTCTCCTTTGATTTGTTTTCTTGTTGAATCAAAAATCTTTTCAAGAAATGAATATCAAAATTGAGTTTATTCAAATCTCTCATCTCATCATTTCAAAACCTGACTCCATTATTATTATTATTATCCATATTTATAATCAATATTAAAAAGAACGCTGAACGATTAGTACAGATGCACCAAGTGCTTCAAACGTAAGGATCCAAAAACAAAAACAAATATTATGCTATCCCGATAATTGGAAAATTGATAATGACTGATTTAATATTTAATTAAATTCGTTATTAAAAATTTTTCGGTTATCACAACCCTTATTCTCACCCTGTTTTCTGAACCTTAATTCTGATTCTTATATTTAGACCATTAAATTCTAACCCTTATACTTTGACGTTCGTATTTTGGCCCTTACATTTCGCCTCTCATTTTTGACAATATATTTCGATCCTCATATTAGGACCCTTATATTTTGACCCCTATGACCTGATATTCCGACCCTTTTATTCAGACCTTGATGTTCTGAGCCTCTGTATTGTAACCCACAGTTTGAGTCTTAAATTCTGACCGTTATACTTTGACACTCATATTTTGACCGCGAGGTCTGAGGCTTATTTCTAACTCTTATTTCTAACACATTTTGACCGTCATTTCTGATCCGGGCTCTGATTTTTCCTAAAATGAATGATTTTTTCGCTATTTTTAAAAAAAATAATTGCAGGGACAAATATGAACATATTCCCAATGTTCGAATGAGCAGAAAAAGGGCATAATGGGTCACACCCAATTTCAGCAAAGTATGTAAGGGTCAAAGTAGAAAAATCGAAATATAAAGGTCTAAAGACAAGGGTTAGAATATAACGATCAGAGTATAACGGGCAGAGCACAAGAGTCAAAATATGAGGATCAAAATATAAAGGTCCGAATATAAGAGTCAAAGTATAGGGGATGGAATATAAGTGTCTAAATACAAGGGAATCCTACAATCCTAATTCTTCTTTTTATATTAAAGAAGAGAAATTATATAGCGTTGCACATCTTTGTGATGTCATAGGAAATGATTAGATGGGATTTGGGTGAGGTACTGATGTACTTTATTCAAACTCATTTTTTCATTTTTTAAGTTTTATGCGAGTGAGTAACAAATCGCTGAGACGATCATCTTCATAATCTAATTACTTCTAAGTTACATGAACACGGATCGATTGAAAAAAAAATCACATCGTATCATTAATTTGGAAGAAATAGTGGAATATATGAAAAGAACCTCATTTCTGTTGTTTTTTACATGTTTTTTGCGAATTACTAAAGAACCGCTGAGGCGGTCGTCTTTACAAACTAATCAGTACTAAGGGAGATGCACAAACTAATCAGTTACAGGAAGATGCATCGATTGAAAAAAAAATTCAAAAATCGTGCAGAAATCGTGTCCTAAAATTTTGCGTCACACATACACACACGTGTTCAAAAACATCATAGAATGATTCAAGGAGTCATGAAACGTGAAGATATCGTAAAATTTCCACTTTTGATTTTCCGGGTCATTACAAAAACTTCCTTCTTTCGGGTCAAGAAGTTAAAAAGGCAGAAAATTCATGTTGAGGAATTTCAATAGAAGAGTTCTTAATGGGAGAATTGGTATAAAAAGATAAAATTCTATTAATTTTGTTTCTATAAAATAGATTCTGTTGAACATTTGCAATTTAAAAAAGGCAGTAAAGCTGCAGAACTATTCAATAGAATCGGCCGAAAATTGATAGAATTTTCTATATATAAAAAGGAGACGTGTCACGTTTTAAGCGTAACGCCGAAATGTTTTCGTGAAAAAACATGAAACTGTGACGCAATAGAGCATCACAGCGTCGGTGCAAACAAATAAACAGATGCCAGCGTATGTTCGATGCAGTTTACGATGTGCGGTAACCCCTGCACGTCTTCAATTATTTAATTATTGAATTATTGAATATACAAGAAGTAGCGTCGAACGTTTTAAATGTCAATAAAATCGACCCTTTTCCGTGAAAGAACATGGAAATCTAACACAATAGAGTATCACGGCGTTGCTGTACTCAAATAAACACATGACCCGGAGCATTCTATGCAGTTCATGATGTGCAGTGGCAACTGCACTTAATGAATTATGTAATTATGATTATGATATTAATACGAATATCGTTTTCCTTGAAATCTATGTAACTTCGAGTGCAGTTGATCGATTTCGATTATCGATATCGAGTATCCGTATCGATTATCGATTTAATATGGAATATCGATATTAAGAATCGATTTTCCATCATTTTTGTTTCTTTTGTGTTTTCCTTGGAATTTTGATTTCGGAATCGATATATGTTCATACTTTTATCATTTGGTATTATCTAATTATGTGACTATCTAATTATGTTTATGATTAATAATTACTTAATATATCTTTTCCTTTGAAATTTGTGTAAATCCAAGTGCACTTGATCGATATCGAGTATTGGTGTCGATTTAACTTTGAATATCGATATTAAGAATCGATTTTCCATAATTTTTGTTTTTTCGTGTTTTCCTTGGAATTTTGACTTCGGAATCGATATATGTTCATACTTTTATCATTTTGGATTATCTTATTATTTTAGTATTTAATTAGGATTATGATTAATAATTACTGGATATATCTTTTTCTTTGAACTTTGTATAACTCCAAGTGCACTTGATCGATATCGAGTATCGATTTAACATAAAATCGAACCAAAACTGCTGAACGACAACGTTTTTATCGTCAGAAAAAAAAATCTAAACAGAAGTTAACCAGCAATAATGCGAAGATAGAGGAAAATTATCTGGGCTTGATAGACGCACAATGTCAACATTGCAATGCAAAATTCTTCAACAGCGAACGGGTAGCTTACAAAAAAGATTTCTTCAATGACTGCTGTAATCATGGTGAAATTGTGTTAGCGCCATTACTAGATCCTCCGGAAATTTTGCACCAATTATTTACTAGATCACATCCACATTCGAAAAACTTTCATCAACATATTCGTTATTATAATAATTCATTTGCTTTTGCTTCGGTCAATGCTAATTTGGTCAATTTCTCTAGAGAACGGCGAGGTCCATACTGTTTCAAAATACATGGTCAAATTTATTATCAGATCAATACAGCCTTATATCCAGATGTAAATGAGACTCCATCATACGAACAACTTTTCATCGTGGATCAAAACAAAGCAGCCGATATTCGTTGTCGATCAACATCGTCATTGAATGCGGATGTTTTATATTCTCTAGATACTATCTTTCGAGAATGTAATATATTTGCGCAATCATACCGAATGATGCACGAAGAGTTACAACATATGAAAATCCTTAACAATAGTCAAACAGAACCTGAAATGCAATTGCTGTTCACGTTGAAGCGAGGCGTAGATCATCATCGACATAACTTTCAGAAAGAAAATGAAGTGGCAGCCATATTTACAACTACTGCTGATGGTGAAATTCCCGAAACATATGTTTCCATTCGGAACAAACATACAAAAGAACTTCAATTTCTCAACTCACTTGGCCCAAATATTGAACCGTTGCTTTACCCCCTATTTTATACATATGGAACTAGCGATTGGCATTCAGATATAAAACGTAAAAGCAAAGATAAACGAGTTACACGGCTTGAATACGTGAAATATCGCATTGCTATCAGAGATCTGAATTATTTTTTGATGGGCGGTCGTTTGTTTCAGTAATGGATTGTTGATAGTCACGTCAAAGTTGAAAAAGACAGAATGAATTATTTTAGAATGGAACAGAAGAAACTACGTGCTCAATCATATCAAGGATTAGTTGATCACTTGAAAAAATTTGCAGCAAGTGTGAATAGTCAAGTTGGTAAAATGATTATCCTACCTTCATCCCATACAAGTTCTCCATGAAACATGCATCAACATTATCAAAATGCTATGGTGATTGTACGAAAATTTGGAAAACCCGATTTATTTATAACCATGACGTGTAATCCTAATTGGAAGGAAATCCAAGAGAATTTGTTACCAGAGGAAACAGCTTCTGATAGACCCAATTCAGTTTCGAGAATATTTCATTTGAAGAGGAAATTGTTAATCGAAAAGATTACAGAGAAGAACCGATTCGGAGATGTATGAGCTTATGTCTTTGTTGTAGAGTATCAGAAACGAGGATTACCTCACATGCATTTATTAGTGACTTTGAAACAAAACTACAAAATAACTATTGCTAATATCATAGATGAGTATATTTTCGATGAGATTCCAGATAAAAATTACGAACCCAAATTACATGAAATTGTCATGACTCAAATGATTCATGGCCCCTACGATCAACGTTGTCGTGATGAGAAAGAATCGTGTTCTAAAAAATTCCCCAAAAAATTCAGAGATGATACAACATCAGATGAAAATGGTTATCTGTCGTATCGACGCAAGGATACAGGTTTTCACAAACGCCCTAATGGGAAAACTACTACCAATCAGTATGTGGTACCATACAATCCTCAGTTGCTATTAAAATTCAATTGTCACATTAATGTTGAAATAGTATCCAGTATCAAATCTGTCAAATATGTTTACAAATATATCTACAAGGGCCACGATAAGGCCGCATTACGTGTAGTGGATTCTGAATCTAAAGAAACTACTATTGTTTATGATGAAATAACGAATTACTTGGAAACTCGATATGTAGGACCCGTCGAAGCATGTGATCGAATTTTGGGGAAATCACTACAAAACAAAAGCCATTCGATCGTTAGATTGCCAGTACACTTACCACAGTTCCAAAATGTATTGATTGCTCAGAATGCAGATCCTAATTCAATTCGTACAGCATTGGAAAAATAAAGCATGTTAATGGACTATTTCGCTCTCAACTTACGCGATTCGAATGCACGTAAATTCACATATTCTGAGATTCCTTTACACTATACATTTACGAATCGAGGTCATGACAAACAATGTTGGGAAATACGTAAAGCGCACTTTAATACAATTGGACGCATGTATTCAGTTAGTCCACCTCAAACTGAATTATTCCACTTACGACTTTTATTTATACATCTTTTTTATACATGTCAAAGGTGCAACAAGTTTCGAAGAATTATGAACTATTAAAGGAACAATTTATTGTACTTTTCAAGAAGCATGTTTAGGACATGGACTCATAGAAGATGACAATGAATGGATTAGAGCTATGGAAGAAGCAGAAGGCTGGATGATGTCTCAGCAGTTAAGACACCTATTTGAACGTATTTTGATGTATTGCCACCCTAATCATCCAGATGAAATGTGGAAAAAATTAAAAAATGCCATGTCCGAAGATTTTTTGAAGAACAATGATTCAGTGTATGCTTATCGAAAGGCTTACATTCAAATCGATGATCTCCTGCATTCTGAAGGTTCGGATCTCAGTAAGTTTCCCTTAATGCCGATGATTGATTGGGACGAAAATTGTACACTTGCCGAGAATGAGCATATGTTAGATGAACAACATGAGTTGATCGGGAAAAATCAATATGGAAAATTGAATCAAATGCAGAAAGAGATTACTGATAAAATCCTTTCAATTATTGATGATAATGCTGACGATGCATCTGAGAAATGTTTCTATGTTGATGGACCTGGAGGTTCAGGTAAAACTTTTATTTGCACAACCTTATACCATTTACTAAAAAGTAAAGGGAAAAATATTTGTACATTGGCATTCACTGGAATTGCAGCAATATTCCTTCCAAATGGTAGAATGGTTCATAAAGTATTTCAAATGCCAGTTCCTTTGTATGATGATTCGGCTTCGAATATTAAAAAACAATCAAAAGAGGCGAGTAGTTTGCGAACCACTGATGTCATAGTTTGGGATGAAGCTCCAATGGCTCCAAAATATGCTCTCGCATTAGTTGATCGTACATTACGTGATTTAATGGATAACAATATACAATTTGGGGGTAAAATAATTGTCCTGGGTGGTGACTTTCGCCAATCACTTCCAGTAATGCCTCATACCACTCGCAGTGAATTAGTAAGTTTATCTATTAAAAATTCTCAATTATGGCGATATTTTCAGGTACACACTTTGATAGAAAATATGAGAACTCTTCCTGAGGAGATTGAATTTAAAAATTTTGTGTTATCGATCGGAGATGGAAGCATTAATGATAAGGACAATAACGTAATACTCCCTCAACAGTGTCTGGCTTCATATGATGAAGAAATAGTGAATACTATTTTCGGTGGCATTATTAGAAAATGTGAATACGGATTATTAGCAAAATATGCCATCTTATCTGCCCGAAATGTAGACGTCGATGAAATTAATAATCAAGTCGTGGAATTATTGGAAAAAACGACAGAAAAAATCTATAGCGGTATAGATAGTATTGACAACTACGATAATGGAGATATAGACGTTGTGCTTTCTCCAGAATATTTAAATACGTTGAATCCACTTAATTTTCCACCATATGAGTTGCGATTACGACAAAACGCTATAATCATGTTGATTAGGAACTTAAGTATAAAAGAGGGACTCTGTAATGGAACTCGACTTCAAGTTTTAGAACTCGGAAACAATATACTTAAATGTGAAATTCTAACAGGTGACAAGCAAGGATGTATTGTTTTCATATATCGCATCACATTGTATTGTGAAAATGTTTACCCTTTCCTTTTTAAAAGATGGCAGTTTCTAGTGAGATTAGCATTTGCTATAACTATCAATAAATCCCAGGGACAAACTTTTGATAAAATCGGACTAGATTTGCGCAAAGATGTCTTCAATCACGGTCAATTGTATGTCGCATTGTCCAGGGTTCGGTCGTGGAATTCATTGAAAGTATTTCTCGGAAAACAAAGAAAAGAATTTAAAGTGAAGAATTACGTTTATAGCGAGCTTTATTTATAGGAAATGAGTCAATAGGTAAAAAAAAATGCTTCGAAGTAACATTCGGCTGGGGATGATAATTCAAGTAGACTTAATTGCAATGGAATTTGGTGTTTTGTTTCCAGTGTGACAACTTTATACATTATCATTATTTTTAAAAATGTGATATATGTGAATATGCTAATGAATAAACATTAATGTCAGAAGAAAATGTTATTGTTATTGATTAACGAATTTATAAGAAATATGAGGATATGTGATGTAACGCTGTGGTGTCCGATATTTTATGATCAAACTGAATCATCATTATAAGGCAAGGTTCTAATTATGAGGATTAAGCTTCAGTAATTTACTTTATTTTTTTTTTGTTTCCAAAACTCAAGAGCACTTAATGAAAGTTAATACTACCACATTTTCTAAGTATTCATTGCAAAGTGCAATGGAAATTGGAAACGAACAAGAAATTCGGTAAGTTCAACATATCGAAAAACGGCGCGCGCAGCGCGCTTGACATGATCTCGTTAATAGAAATTCAACAGCATTTTCTGTAAAACTTGCTAGGCTTTCCTATGGATTTTTTTTCGTGCGTGAAATACCTATAATGAGAATAGTAAACATTTTTTTTTTCGAATTCAGGGTGTGACATTCCCGGCTATGCATTCCATGTTGGCGCACTGGGTACCGCCCATGGAACGGAGTAAATTTGCTGCTCTGGTTTATGCAGGTATTGAACACAAATATTTACAGAATTCTATAGCGAAGTGACAGGACGACATGATTCAGGAAATGTAATCAATACTATTTCCATAAACACATCAGAACGGATGGGTTCAATAGAAAATATCAAGGAACTTTTCCGTAGCTCAAGAAATTCTCAACGAAAAATTTCCGTAGATACTTTTACCTAATGTTACTAGCTTCAAAGAAATTCTTCAGAAAGTCTAGTTTTGATTTGATAATTTACATATATTCTCGATTATACGAATTTCTGATTCATCTCATTGTATTAGAACAGATCTATGCCAAGTCAGCAGGACAAAAAATTAATAACCGCCGAACTACTGTGAAAGACAAACACTAATTGGCGCCAAAATGCTTGTCATTTTATTGACAATTTTTGGTGAAAATTTCAGATTGAATAAAATTAATTTTTTCTTTAATTAAGGTATTTCTTTAATGAGTTATACTTGGTGAAAATTTCGCAATGAACTGAAGACCTAAAATTTGGATCATATGTTGTTGAGGACATGTAAAAACGACTCCCAAAATTTCAAGTATTTTTTCTACGCGAATTTTTTAGATATCCATCGTCAAACATTCAATTTTTGTCTTTTTTAAGTTTTTGTCGATGCATATCTCAAAAATTCGCGTGGAAAAAATACTTGCAATTTTGAGAATGATTTTCACATGTGCTCAACAACATATGATCCAAATTTTAGGTTTTCAGTTCATTGCGAAATTTTCACCAAGTATAGCGCAGCCGGCTAACCTGCTTTCATCACCCGATCAATGAATTTATATTTTTCATTGTGCGTCCTAGGTTCTAATTTTGGTACTGTCATTTCCCTCCCTGTGAGTGGCTGGCTGTGCTCTTTAGAGCTCTGGGGTGGCTGGCCCTTGGCATTCTACTTATTCGGAGGTTTGGGAATTGTTTGGTACATCTTCTGGCTCTTCTTCATTTACGACACACCAGCACAACACCCCAGTATCGACCTCCAAGAGAAGGTGTATATTGAAGCTTGTGTTGAACCCAAGAACGAAGTAAGTGTGATTATCATCTTATTTTACAATGTTCTTCTTTCTTCCTTCAAGCATGACGTATGAAAGACGAATTAAATCTTCGAGCGAAAATTTAGATGAGATTATTCATGAAATACAGACTTGACAGTAGTGCACAGAGAAAAAATCAAGTTACTGACTTTAAGGAACTCGAGGTTCTAAAAGGTGTTCCACTGAGCATAAGAAACTGGTTAATTAATTAAAAAGAAGAATCCACGCACGAAAAAATTTAATAGAAAAATCTAGCGACTTCGTTAGACAATTCTATTGGATTTCTACTGAACTTTCTATTAGTGTTTGGTCGATTCTATTAATGTTCAATGGAAAATATTCTATAGAAAAAAATCAAATCCTATTGATATCTTCTATAGAATATTTTTTATTGGACATTTCAATAGAATCAGCCAAAAACTAATGAAAAGTTCAATAGAAATCCAATAGAATTGCCTAACGAATTCGCCAAGTTTTTCTATTAAATTTTTCCCCCGTGACTGACTGTAAGGAACTCCGAGGTTCTGTAAGGTGTTATACTGAGCATAAGAAACTGGTTAATTAATTAGGAAAAAGAATTCACGCACGAGAAAATTTAATAGAAAAACCTAGAGAATTCGCTAAACAATTTGATTGGATTTCTATTGAACTTTCTATTAGATTTTGATCGATTCTATTGAAATGTTCAATAGAAAATATCCTATAAAAAAAGCCAATCGACCAAAAACTAATAGAAAGTCCAATAGAAATCCAATAGAATAGTCCAACGAATTTGCTAGATTTTTCTATAAAATTTTTTCGTGCGTGATATAAAATCTCTTCACGAAAGTTTGTTCTGTCTCAGCCTAAAATATTTTTTTACATATCTATACTGAAAGTTTTTAGTTTGCTGGATGGAAAGTATTCAGTTTCCAGCCGTTCATAAGAAAGCAAAATACAAACTTTCCTTTCTAGGCGTCTTAAGGGCGTTATGGTATATCCTATGACAATACCACCCAAACGTTAGTTACTATGGATTTTCGGAAAAATTTCTAAATACCTTAATTGATTGCATTTTCATAAGTCATTGAGTTTTTCTATCCTTATATGTTATTGATGAAGGCAATAATAACGGTTTGAATCAAATAATAAATCATTTGTTAATTAATTGTTTGAATCAAATAGGAATTATTTCACAAATTTTCCATTTTTGCTTCCGAATAGAAACTTTGTAATCGTTCAAAATTAAGTTTGAAAATTTTTGTGTCAGGGTAACTAAATATGGTCTAAAAAGTCTAAATATGCGATTTTTAGATGGTGTCTGTATGTATGTATGTGTGTGTGTACTTTTTTCAATTTTTTTCGCAATTTTCTTTATATTATAGGAGCTTGATGAAATTTCATGAATTTTTCCATGGAAAAGACGTTAATAGGCTCTATTTATCGACACCAATTAACGTTGAATTATTCCTAGAGTTTGTGAAATATTGGTATTTTTTCAAAAATTCATTTTTCGACGCTCAGTCCAAGAATTGGTATTAGAATGAAATAAATCATGGCTTAAAAAATTTGTATTGATAGCCTTTTGAGTCTCTCAGAATATGATGTGGATTGCATCTATCACTGTTGAGCTACAGCATATAGTTTTTGAGATTTTTTTTTTCATTTTTTACATGATAAACTGGAAAAATCAACACTCATATCAATGAAATCCTGGCTCAAAAAGAATGTTTTGAGGCTTTCTCGATGAAGTACAAAGATAATGAAAACAGCATAACTATTTATTAAGTTGCATAGTAGCAATATGAAGCTTTAGGTCATATGGAGGTCATATATGGGTTATATAGGCTCATATAAAAGTTGTACGGGGTCATATGGGGGTTATATGAGGTCATTTAGAAGTTATCTGAGGTCACGTGGTATCATAATGGGCTCATATGGGGTTCATATGGGGTCATATGGTCTCATATGGGGTTATATGAAGTGATATGAGTTCGTATGAGCTTATATTGGAGTAATATGGTATTATATGGGGGTCACAAGGGGTCAGATGAGGGTCACGTTGGGTCATATGTGCTCATATGGGGTTATATGGAGTCATATATAGGCGTTAAATGAGTCATATGGAGTCATATGGTTTTATGGGATCATACAAGGATCGCATCAGCTCATACAAGAGTCATATGGGGGTCATACGGGATTATATGGAGTGATATGCAGCCATGTGGGCTTCTATAGGATCATGTGGGGCCACATATAGAAGTCACATATGGAGCCAGATGGGGTCATATGGAGGTTCTATGGGCTCATAAAAGGGTAATATAGGAATCATAAGAGAGTCATATATGGATGTCACTATTCAAAACAATAAAAAATAAGAGTAATAAATTTCAAAAATGGAGAATCCATTCGGAAGCATATTGCTAATTTGTTAGCAACATAAACTACACTCATATACAGAAAATGCGGTTATTCACTTGTTTGAAGTTGAATATCGCAGAAACTATGTACTACAAAATTTTATAAAAATTTCCAGTTCTTAACAATGTTTTTTTAAAGAACATCGTAATGACCATTTTCTCATAAGTTGGAAAAATCTAGTTCGAGGGGACCCTTAATCTCCGGTGGGCCTGTGGGTCGCATGTTAGAAGCCCGCATTTCTTTATTTATTATCTCTGAAACTCTGTAGTGCAGCTAGTTAGAATTTTTTCCAATAGCTGGGAAATATTATAAACATTATCTATGGAAAACATGGGGCCAATCGTAAGAATAACCTGTTTTATAGGGATATACCTTAAAATAGCATGTGCACCTCGGGCGGGGAAAACATGACTTTCCCCAATTGGTGCACAATATACTATTTTTCATGGGTTACCTGATTTTTTATCCCTGTGAAATTTCCCCCGAAAATTTTTCCCAAGAAAAGTTTCCATGTTCCGAAGAATAAAACCCACGTGAAATTTCCCTGAAAAATATTAAATCAGACATATCGTTACCTGTATAGAAGACTAACGTAAGTGCCAAAAAATGTCCTCATACCAGAAGTTTTGAATTTTTAATTCCAGTTCCCATATTTGTTTTTTGTTTCTCTTTTTCTATTGAATTCTCGTATTTTGGCACTTACGTTACTTTTCTATACAGCTAATGACATGTTAGAACACAGCATCCATTCATTTTTATTGAGTGTAACACAACTCAACTGATCTGATTGACCTATCAGTAGGCAGTATGAGACTTTTTCTTACAAAAATTTTTACTTCGTGGTAATATACCCTAAAAGTGCAAATATTTTGCTGAAAATTTTTAAAAGCCTCAAGTAATCCTTCTAGTTTACTCTGGTGGTGATAAAAGTCATCTATCGGTCAGGATTGAGTAGAAAAAAAATTTTTGTATGGGACTCGTGTCACTGAACTCCAGGGCTGGGCATATTTCGCAGATGGGAGTTTTCGATTGTCAAATACCCCCTGGAGATTTTTGGAACACGTTACATCTACGGTATAGCGTAGATGTTTCGTAGATGTGTGTAGATGTGCATTTTTGGTCCTAAAAAGCATGAAAATGATCGAAATAAAGTGGAATAATGATTGGGAAGTTAATTATCAGAAGATTAGTGTCAGTTATCACTCATTAATTGAGTTTTTTTTATGAATTCGAAGAAATTACTGCTACCCGGGTAGAAATCACGCCACTCGAGCTCGGCTCGGAACCCGTATCCCAGCTAGAAATACGCCACTCCGCCCCAGCTTGGGATAAACTCCACGCGCGTCACATGTACCCGAGGTTGAGCCGCGTCACGCGCTCACAGCCCAGCGTTAGACTATTACGCGAAACGCTTCGCCGGGCTTTAGTTGAATGGCCACTGCTCAACCTCAGGTTCATCTCCAATTACTCAATCCCAGTATACTTAACCTCAATAATGATTTGACAGGTCCGATGGCATCGTGATTTGAGCGAAAAAACAATCGAATAAATGTGAAGATGGCATGCTTTTTCAGATGAACAATCACAAGCTCATCAGAAATAACGTGATATTAACTAATCGAATGGGATTAATCTGAAAATACAAGGTAGAACAATTCACTGAAACGTAGTCAAAACTTTCTTTTTTCTCGCGAATACAAAAAACAAAATCAAGAAAAATAATCACTTGAAAAACGTTAACGAACCTTTATTATTAATTATCAACGCTACAGGAGAGGATATTCTTCATTTTTCGATAGGCCTACGAGTTCTAAGAATATTCTACGATTTATTAGGGAAATGTTGAATACAGGTATGCCAAAATAACACGCATGAAAAAATTCAACAGAAAAACCTAGCGCTTTCTATTAAATTTCTATTGGAATTCTATGAGAATTCTCTGGAAGTTCTATTAGAATTCTATTCGTTTCTTGCGCCGATTCTATAGGAGATTATGCAACTTCATAGAGTCTTTTTGTTAAGGTAAAATTTGGTGCAAGAAAGTAAATAGGTTTTTATGTTCCTATAGATTTTCTTAGGCGTAAGATTTCTAAGTTTTTTCCGCTCGGTTTTTCTTCTTTTCTTTTAATCAAATACAGGAACAAAACTTGGAAAATTCATGCCCAATAATTTCTGTGGAAGAAATCCTAACAGAATAAATTATCTAGAAAAATCAAGGGATTTTTTTCTACAAACAAATATCTATTAAAAATGCAGGGGAAAGTTTCATAATTTTCAATGGAATTAACGCAAAAACAATAGAATTTTTCAATAGAATTGCAATCAAACTTAAATAGAATTCTCAGAGAGCTCCAATAGAAATTCGATAGGAATTCTTAGAGAAAGTGCCAGGTTTTATATTCGATGACAGAGGGAAAAATCAGTAAATTTCAAATTTTA